GTCATGTTTTGCTCTGCATGGACTCTGCATGCGCTTGATTCTGTACTGCATGGGCAAGATTCTAGAACACCAAAGTCCGCACATGGAGGAATGGCACGGATCAAGAAATACAAACAAACCCACCACGTCGGAAATATCAACGTATTGTTTCAAGGTATCTGGATTTTCTTTCTGGTCCAGCCTGCGTGAAAGTGAATGTGCGCAACTGCGCAGTTCAAAAGCGCCTGCGTGACACAATGGACAGCAACCGCATGGATAAACCACGCCGAAAACGCTTTCATATAATGCAGTCTACAATCAATGCGTTCGGATCGGTCTACAAGTTTAAAACCCTCCCATGCTGAAGTTCAATCAATCTTGAACAAACCAGATCGCGAAGCCGTGAGAGCACGAATATATGGCTTGGAGCGCAGTGGGTCCTCTCACATTTCCTTTTTCAAAAAAGCCAGCGCTGGATGCGAGCCTTGCCCCAGCATCCTCATGAGCGATCAACGACTATATACCAAAGTATCTGGGATGTCCTCTTCCTCATTTGCGTCTGCTTGACTCCGGGCCCTTTTTTCGGCCTCGAGCACTTGCCACATAGCCAGCGCTAGCTTGAACAGGAAGAGCTATGGCACGGAGAGGCCCTGCTTGCGCAACAGGCGAGGTACGCAGAAGCTCCAGCAACTCTTCGATTGCACGGACCTGCTGTTGGAGGTTGGTCAAAGTAGCTCGAACCTCTTGCACATGAGCCATGTGCTCGATCAAGATGTTTCGGACCAGCTCAGCTTCTACGGTCACTGCGGATGGCTCCGGATCTGCAGTCTCATCTGGCTGGGACGACATCTGCGCGCACGCCTCGCTCTCACTTACTTCAACAACTTGATAGAAAATGTTCCCTGCGTCATTCCACAGGTATAAGCTTCGCGTGATTCTCCAAAATCTCATACATGTTCCTCAACCTGAAGGTATAAAAGATATACGCCTTTTCTCCGAACTCATGTACACGTCTCAAACTCAAGATATGAAGTATACACGAGGCATCATGCACGGTGACCAAAGGAAAGCAGGTTGGGCAATGGCTCGCTTGCAATGTCAAACGGACGCTTGGGGTCAAGGACATGAGAAATGAGAGCTTCAAAAAAACCATTCGGGCACAACACAAGTGTAATCTATAAATGGCGCGCCACACCAATGTCACCAAACTCGTTTAAAGGTCTGACTCTCTTCAACAGTGGCCCCATGCAATGACTCGATAAGCGCCATCTCATGAATCTGGGGACCCATGCTGAATCAACAGGCTCAGCTTTCGGCTCTCTCAAACGACGCCACTTCTGGAAGATAAAAGCCTGCGACCCAATACGCAGCGCTCTTGCAAATGTATTCTATATGGATATACCTACGCCGTTACATCATATATATATATACAGGTATGTTTCAGCATCTCTCTGGATGTGAAGGCGCACTTTTCCATTCATGCGGGACAAAGGGTGAAGCGGTGTCTCACTGCGTGGTGCGCTACATCTGCCTCGTACAACACCCATCCACTGACGTCTGCCGTGGGCGCTCGAGCGTTCTTTGGCCACCAACCCTTGTCCTTCATGGAGTCGATCCAAAACCTCAACCGGATCTAAACACAAAACTATACTGTATATTCATGAACCCTTCTGTTGGAGAAGACATACGCAAACAAACACAACCCACATCATCCATGTCTTGTTCGAATCGGTCTGCCACTGGATCCACAACCTTCGAAGGCTTCTTGGACGAAGGCTTCTTCATGGTGTTGGTGAATTTCTTCTTTGCGGGCTTCTTGATAGCCTTCATAGCCTTCATGGCCTTCATGGCTGTTGAAACCTTCACGGCCTTGCCTGCCATGGCCTATATGACAGACAGGAGATGGGCACTTCGAATGAATGAACTGAATCCAATTGAGTTTGAGCTCTCACAAGACACCATACAGTCGACTAGCTCAACAATGCTCTGGCTCTGACAGGCCAACATACACACGCGCATTCTTCACCCAAACAATAGCAGTATTCGTACCATGACGAGATGGGGAAGGCACAAAATTGGTCAACACAAGTGCCCATGGCTCCATCCAAACTTCGCGCACGCGAGCTTTCCCAGCATGCTCCTTGAACGTCCTGCCTGCTAGAAGTTGTGGTCCTGGCACAAGTGATTACAGTGGTAAGCCAACTGGAACTGCAGGGGTGATTGAAAGCAGGTTGGGGAATGGCTCTCTTGCAGTGGGAACAGGAAGCTTTGGTTGAAGGCCGCCATAGATGAGAGATTCGAACTGTCATCTCCAACGAGTGAACGTGCGAAATAACAATTTCAGGACAACGCAATTCAATGAACGAACCGTCCATGACTGCAAGTGTTCCCCGACAACGCCTCTTCCATGACACCTGCCAATTAGCCGAGGCTGCGCAAACAATTTGCTAAACATCTTTTGCGGAAACTATCCGTATTGTTCTACGTAAAAGTTTGGATACCCCTGTTTAGACAAACTATAATTATATAACGATCAAGATGCATCGCAATGACCAATTCGTGAAACCAACAATCATTTTATAAGGTCAGGTGGCCCTGACGTTGTCTGGCAATTCAATCGAACTACTCG